GGATTGCCCCTTGCCCCCCTGCCTCCCCTCCCCCCAGTTCTGCCGTCTTCCATATTCCAGCCCTCCCGCCGCAGCTCACTGGCCCCTCACCTTGCAGGGTTCTGCCGGAGCCCCCCAGTCATGGTGGCTGGGGGCCGAGTCTTCGTCCTGCCCTGCATCCAGCAGATCCAGAGGTGGGTAGGAAGAGAGCCAGGAAGGGGACCCTAGTTTTCTCTCTTCTCCTTTGCTCACTGTCCACTCTTCTTTTTCCCTCTAGGATCTCTCTCAACACATTGACCCTCAATGTCAAGAGTGAAAAGGTTTACACTCGCCATGGGGTGCCCATCTCAGTCACTGGCATTGCCCAGGTGAGGTTTTCAGAGCCTTTCCCAGATCCACTCCCCCATCACCTTCTCTGTCCCCAGACTTTAAGGATCCTGTGACCACAGCTTTCGCAGCCTCTGCCTGCTGACATTCTCTCTGTAATCTTACCTTCTCTAGCACACTTAACTCTCCTCTTCTCTCCCTGCTTCCTCCCTGGCTTCCTGAGACTTCTGCCTCACCCTTCCCACCCTTCCCATGGCTGCAGGTGAAAATCCAGGGGCAGAACAAGGAGATGTTGGCAGCCGCCTGCCAGATGTTCCTGGGGAAGACAGAGGCTGAGATTGCCCACATTGCACTGGAGACTCTGGAGGGCCACCAGAGGGCTATCATGGCCCACATGACTGTGGAGGTGGGCCTGACAGCAGGGAAACATCTGGAAGGGATTCCAGAGGGACGCTAAGAACTGAGCTAGTGTGTGGGAGACAGTGGCCAGAGGATCTGAGAGCTTACATTCCTTCTTCCACCATCCTATTGTCCCAGGAAATCTATAAGGACAGGCAGAAATTCTCAGAGCAGGTTTTCAAAGTAGCCTCCTCAGACCTGGTGAACATGGGCATCAGTGTGGTCAGCTACACCCTGAAGGACATTCATGATGATCAGGTAAACCTGGACAGGTGATCCTCTCTGTCCCTGCTCCCTTCTCTTAAACCCTCTTAAGGACTCCAGTTTCTGCATCTCTCCCACAGGACTACTTGCACTCGTTGGGGAAGGCTCGAACCGCTCAAGTCCAAAAAGATGCTCGGATTGGAGAAGCGGAGGCCAAGAGAGATGCTGGGATCCGGGTGAGAGAGATGGGGGGTCACTTGGTCACCATGGGCTTATTGGGCACTTGGTGGGAAGGGCACAACTGACTGAGGGCTGGTGGAACTGGGTTGACAGAGGAAGTAGATGAGGCCACGGCTGGGGCAAAGGCAGGGGAGCCTGGGAGAAGCAGGCCTCCCCCTGAAGCCTTCCCCTCCCTGCTCTGACTCCCCACCTGATTTCTGTATGAACAGGAGGCCAAAGCCAAGCAGGAGAAAGTGTCTGCTCAGTACCTGAGTGAGATCGAGATGGCCAAGGCGCAGAGGGACTATGAGCTGAAGAAGGCCACATATGACATTGAGGTCAACACCCGCCGGGCACAGGCTGACCTGGCCTATCAGCTTCAGGTCAGAGCCACCATACTTGGCAAGTAGCCGGGCTGGATCTTGCCCCTGCACCATTTCTCTCAGGCTACCACTCTCGTATTCTATCTCTGATCCCCATATCTTGTTCTCCATTTCTGACCTACTCCTCCATATGAGGAAGATTTCAAAGACCTAAACAGTTCAGCTAAAAAGCAAAGAAAAGGTCAAGAGATATATGATCAGTAGGGTTGGTCATGTGTTTGGAGCGGGTTGTGCCCTGTGCAATGGCACCTGGATGGGGGTGGACCAGAGCTGAGGCCCAGCCCGTGCCCACTCACCAAACTGTGCCAGAGGAAGGGGTGCCGTTTTCTCATTTGCACAGGGCAGTCCTAGGGATCAGAGGAGGGTGTGAGGAAAGAAAACATGGAATTGGGCTTTGAATCCTGCAAAGTGAGGTGTAGGAAGCCCTGGATATTGCAAGGAGGTACAGTCAATCCTCATTTGCGGATTCCGTATTGAGGATGTGCCTATTCACTAAAATTTATTGATAACTCCAAAAATCAGTGCCCACAGCACTTTT